AATGCCATTATCTCCCTCAGATTTGGTCCAGTACTACAATATCCAAACCAGCTAGGAATACTGACAGCCAAGGGACTGCTAGGGCTGAAGCCAAGGCTGCAGTTCAGATCTGAAGAGAATCAGTCACTCCTGAGAAAGCTTGAGGTTGGAAAGATGTTACTGAGCCTTTATCAAGTTTTTGACACTCGGTCACACCTGTTTCCAACAAAACCCCCACATCATCATAAAAAAATTCAAAACATCAGGAAACATCGTTTGCCTGACTACATTTGTATTGCAGTGGGCCCTTTCCTCCTCTCAGCAAGACACAAATCTGTCTACAGCACATGAAGAGACCCTACCCACTCATCTCCCCTCTGCTCTCCCACCTGAACATCAGGGCAACAAGTCTTATAACTAGGCCCAGTTTTTCCCCTTAGTCCAAGTAAACACAACAAGGACATTTCCCCACAACTGAGCAGCAGTTTCTCTAAAATGTGTACTGCCCAGCAAAAGCCATTAGAGAAAGAGTAAACCTGAGCTTGTACCAACCAGTTGTGCGCTAGCAACTCATTTGGTACAAATAATTGTTGGAGAAAGTCTCCCTTTCCATGCAGAAGTCTGCAGTCACCACTAAGGTACAGTCAGGCTTGACTAAGTGACTTCTGGATATGAACCCAAAAACCAGCACCTTAAATTGGTATGATTACAGTTCTAAAGAACAAGAAATGTGTCTACTAGAGCACTAGTAAAGTATTATACTCCAGCTCTACTGAACCTCGCTTATGCATTAAGGCACATACTTTGATCTCCAGGCACCAGCCAGCATGGCTGAGAAATAACGACTTTTCTAACTGTAGAAACTCCATCATGAGTCACTGCAGCTCTACTGTCTAAGGTTTAACAAGCCAACCTCTCCTTACATCAACTGAAGGGATAGTACTCTGTCATAAAGATAGCTGCCATAGTGGGCAAACACCACCATAGTTAATATGATGCTTAATTAGTCCTTCTCACATTACCTTGGTTTCTTCCACAGCCGGTATACGTAAAGTAGATAGCAGGATAAGGGTGCACATCCATGTCAGGAGCGAAAGCTGAAACTGAGCCACAGCAAATGAAATAGTTGCATGTAATAAAATGACAGCAAAGCCCTTGATTCCCAGTAACAACCAGCAGGCAGCCATTCCATAAACCATCAAGCACCATGGTTTATACTGTTAGAAAAAGAAAAAAATGAACAATGCTTAGTTTCATTATTTCTAAAGCAAAAAAAGCACTCAATATCTGTGCTGTCCTACACAGGGTCTATAGTAGAACCAAATGCAGTCAACAAGGTTAAGAACACATATGAAACAATATAGTGAAACCCAACTATATCCATAAAGATGGAAGGGAAGTCTGTAGCAGCATGTGTGAAATCCAGAGCCTCCCTGATGTGGGGGAGAACATAACTTCCTCCTTTCCTTCCCCAAACTAGCAGGTGTGACACCATATGCCAGTCATTTCCCACAATCATGCCAAAACCCAAGCAGTCATCACTTTACAGTCTTGGAAAGGAATAACTACACCCTTCTTTTGGGTACAGGTCAAATGACACTAGTTAATGGTTCACAACAAAGCACAGACTTTCAAGGGTTGGAAGCTGAAGTCGCCAAACACAGACCTAAGGCAACCAACCTACTTGCTCTCACCTGTGCATCATTACAGACCCACTCACACAATTCATCCCACAGAACGTGATTTCCCACACTCAGTAGCCTCAGTGCCAAGTTTCCCACATCCAGAGTAAACTGAAATCCAGTTTCTAAACTGAAGAAAATTCATACATACCTTCTCCACCAAGAGCCTGGACACTTGTGATACCAGCAGGTGACCAGCCAGAAGACAGAGTATACGTTCCCTTCCCCATTCAATCCAATAGCTCCACTCAAAGTCCATGGGGTCCTGAAGCATAAAAACAACTGGTCAGTATGTTTATCTGGCCATAAAAGCTTGTTCTTACAGGACAAGGAAATGTCTCTAACACACTAGGTCTGTTACCCACAGAACTCAACATCTGGGGAACATCTTGTTTCAGCAATGTAGTCTGACCACTCACAGTGGTGAGTTCCAACAGCTCTATTTTGATTTCCAATGATGAGAAATTCAGAAAAAGAGCTTTAGATAGTGCCGTGACTCCTAAACCCCATGGACTGAAGGAGCTTTTAAAATCTGCTCTGCCTTGGAAAACTGAGAGCTTGGGTGAAAAGGCACCTCATTGGAAGAGAAGTTTCACTCCCTGTTTCAACAAAGCCTAGGTGGGATCAGATTAAGTCAGGTCAGCTGCAGATACCCGTGACATGGTGTTTCTATCTAAATTAGGTAAAAAGGATCAGCTAGTAGCTCCATGTCCCATACAGAGCCCCACTAAAAGTTCATCTCCACAATTGCTTTATGGTTTTCTTGAAAGCATACATCAAAGTCCCTTACCAGCAGTGATGGTGGGCCTCAACACCAAAATACTTCCACAGACATGCATTCCTGGTCTTGTGTAAGTCATCCTCAACATTAGTTGTGTGTGCTAGCTGTACTTCTTCAAAAGGATGCGAGATCAAAAGAAAGCAGGGGAGAAGGTTTGTTGTTTTGGTTTGGGGTAGAGAGGTACTAGTTTTTTATTAGTTTAAGACCAACCATGTTTCTTTAAGCCCTTATGCCTCAAAAATCTGTTCTCCTCTATGCTGGACTACAGGCTAACCAAGAGAGAAATGTGTGTTCACTTGTGTTGGGAATTATCCAAACCTCCCAGTGACAGGAAAAAGGGGAAAAAAGCTGCAGGAAGTGTCAAGGGTGATCATAGGTTTTAAGGCCAAACAGTAAAGCAGAAGGTTATTAAGTGATGTAACAAAGGAAAGAGAAAAACTTAGGCCAGAGACCAAGAAACAAAACACTGGTTATGATTCTTACACCCAGACATACCCAGCAAGTACTTCTTCCTCAAAAGGAGGAAACAGACTAAAATTAATTATGAATATGCAAATCTGCAAAATTACTACAAACCTCTGAAGCTAAACGAGAAGCTCAGGTGAGCAAAGGGTACGGAGACATGATATTAGCATTATTGCCACAAAATAAAAGATGCCGCTACCAGTCACCCATCCTACCTTTTTGAGGCCCTGAAAGAGAGTCCCCGGTTCCAGCCCGAAATTTCTGTCCATTGCAGCTTCATACTCTGCAGAGAGGAACAAATCTTCGCTAAGGACAGAGCAGGGAGAATCAGTGATGTAGCCTCTGCTGTTCAAGAGCAACACATTCCTGCATTGCCTCCATTGATGGAGACACTTGGAGTCAGGGAAGAGCACATCACCATGTCACCACTCGCCAGGTGAGCTGCCCGACCAGGCCACAGCTTGCCCTGCAGCAAAGGCAAAACCACTGAACTGTCCAAAACCTGTGCTTTGATTCCTCCTTGCAAGAGGTAGCAGGCAGCAACCAACCTTTCATCACCTGGGACCTGCACCAATCCTTGTTTCCTCTCTCTCAGGGCTGCCTGGTGTCTCCCACCAGAGCAGAAGAGACACAGACCTGACAGTGACCAGTACAGCTAGACCAGGGCAAAGCAGCTCAGAGAAGCCACCTCCAGAGCCCATTCCCATGCAGCCTTTCGCCATCTCCACAGAAGACATGCTGCACACCTGGGCACATGGCCCAGTACCCATTTACCCAGCATTTCCTTCACTGCCCTGCAATTACCTTTCTGGCACTCCTGTCCTTCCCTTAAGCACTTCTGAGAGCCAGCTAGCATCATTAATATAGAACACCTTGCTGATTAAAGCCTAACAAGATGCAGTATACATTTCCCTAATGAGCCTCTCTAACTAGCTATAGTTTTATTAGATAATACCACTTTCATTTCCCTTAAAATACCAATGCACCAGAACATAGCTTCTTTTCATCTAGAAATTGTATTTAGATTGTTTAAAACCCCACACCTCCTCTGCACTACACAGCCCCACTGAAACAAATCCAAGCCACTACAGCAGCCACCAAAAGGTTACACAAGGCAACATGCGGGTATTTGGAAACAAAATGACCCCAAAGCTGCACAGACAACCCAGTCATTTCTCTGAGCCCACAACCCAGCACAGGAGCCCCAGAGCTCTGGGCAGGGCAGCACCCACCCACCCTAGTGCCTGCCCAGGTTCAATCCCCAGCACACACCATCAGGAGGCACAGCTGCTTCTGAACCACCCACCTCCAAGGGGCTGCAGGTGAGAAGGTTCAAGACTAGCCAGGGGAAAAGAAAACAATTCAGAGCCAACATCCCTGCACTTCCCCCATTTGAGCAGCTGAGCTTCAGAGATCTCCTCCGCCTCTCTTCCCTGACAGCCAAGTGCCAGGACACCATTGCCAAGGGCCTTCCCAGCACTCGAGGCAAGAAAGTCTTGGGACAAGCTCTGTGCCCAGCTGGCACCTGGCTGCTTGCCTCCTCGCACGGGGCTAGTTTACAGCCAGAAAGAGCACAGGCTCTCCTCGCAGAAGAGCAAAGTAGAAACCAACCCAGAGAGTA